TAATTAGCTAAGTTTTAAATTGTTTCAATTTTTCAATCTATTCATTTATAGCATTAAGCATATTAATATCATCATTTTTATTGGATATTTTTCTGCAAAAATCTGTTCTTATTTATTCTTAATAATGTTCACTGTGAATATGCTTAGAAAAGTTTAACTTCAACTCGTTTAAGTCAGATTAATTCCTTTACTTCTTTATCTAAATTTGAGTTTATATTTCCATAATTAACACATCTAATTTCTTCTATGCTTCCGTAGGATCACAGTCATAGTCTTGAGGAACACTATAAAAGTAATTCCAGACATAGCAATAGGCGTTATAAATTGGCTCTGTAATATACTGCATTTATTCACTTTTTTTAACTTTATATTTTGTTAATTTGTAATTTATTAAATTAATTATGATAAATTTTAATATCAAAATGAATACTTTATAAAAGTACAATTTTTTCTAATATTTTAAATAGTAAGATTATTGATTAGCTCCTGATAAGAAAAAAGTACACTATCTAATTTTATGTACGTTGTTTTCAAATAGAAAGTTTATTAAAATTAAGATTATTATTATTGTTATGAGTATTATTAAATAGAGAGGGACCTTATCGTAAATCATCAAAAATAAACTTCTATTTTTTTATTGTCTATTTTATAGCTTAAATATTCTAAAAAACTAATTAAAATAAAACACTTTTTAAAAAAAAATTTTATTGTGAGTAAGCTTTTAATTATCTAATATAATTATCTCTCTCTATTTATATCATTATATTTATAGATATTAAATTATCAAATAATTATCTTCTTATCTTGTAAATTAAGAGAAGAGTCAAACAAAAATAGAAAGTTTCGAATTAATTTAAAAATCAGATATTATTTAGGAATTTATTGATTAGAAGATTTTAACATTCAATATAAAAATAAATTATAAATTTTTTATTATTAAAACAAACATTTTTCTATTATAATAATCATTTTTAAATATTGAATATCTTATTTAATGCTAAAAACAATCAAAAATTTTTTTATATAAATTATTAATATATTTTTATTATTTTGTTCCTTTGTAAATTAAATAAGGAAAACTTTTTTAATGTGTGTTAGGTATTAAAAACTGATCAGAAAATTTTTGAGATTTTTTTTAAATAAAAAATCATTCAATGTTTTAAAATAACTCAAAAGAAGAATTCTTTTTATTAAATTATTTATGAGAGGTATGGATTTATTACTTTTTTATCAATACATATTTATATAAATACATAAAAATATATAAGATCAAAAACATTCCATTAACAATTAGTAATAGCTAATGAGTCAAAAATAATTTTTAATTTTTTTTAAATTTACATATATATATGAATCAATAAAATGAAATTAGCTCAAATACCTGATAATTTATATATAGAATTTTTTTTGTAATTAGAATTACAAAATAAGTAAATAAATCATGAATTAAGTTTATTTTTTACTTCAGTTTTAATCTTATTGCTTTAATTGTTTTAGTTATCATTTAGTTCTTATATAAATTGTTTAACTGTAACTAATTTATCTGGGTGGAAACCTTGTCCGGCACCATGCCCCATAGTGCTCCCTATTTCTGGTGGACTTAAATGATTATGACTCATTTCTTTAAATGTCTTTTTCATAATTCTCTCTCTTGGGAATTTACCATGACTTCCTAGAGTATGCTTCTACTTATAAATATCGTCAGCCTTAAAATTAGGGGTAAACTAATAATGGTTTCTTGAAGAATCCATAATAGGAGCTCCCCATTCTATAGCTCCTGATATGATTGCTCTATTATATTCATCAGTTGGTCTTTACAATGGGGCTATAACTTCTGATTGATTGTTTTTTCTATTTATTTGTTATTATTAGATTTTAGACTTTTTATTTTTTATACTTTAAATTTCACTGATATTATTTAGAA